AATAATTAGATGTTACATTACAAACTCAAATAGTGTATATAATTATTTAATATTTTTATATATAAATAATATAACTTATCTTGATATATTTTATACATAAATTATCAGTTACTAATTTTTGCTAAATTTAATGAAGTATGTCAGAAGTATGTTAATGATGAGGATAAATATAAAAAATATCAATTTTATAATAATCATTTTAATTATTTAAAAGAAAGATAATAAATGGTTTTTATATATTTATTGCAATTATGAAATATCCTGTTTTTAGTATTTCAAGTGCACTTACTTGCTGTGTAAATTTTATTAATTTATAAGTGGACTTACAATTAGTTACATTTATTTTGTATTTTTCAGCAAATGGATACAGCGCACTACAATAGAATGAACTTATAATTGACTGCATTAAACCTTATTCAACCATTGCATTTGATGGCATAGGTAAGTAAAACAAATAACACGTAGTAATATTTTAATGAAAAATTCAGAAATAAATATTTTATAAATATATAATCTTTTGTATTTTGTAATAAAATAATCACATGTCTCAGAAATGTATTGTTTACATAATTTATAAATATATTATGAATATATCCATTGTATACTGAAAAATTAAACGAGAAAATTTTATTGTTTTGATGTACAACGAATATAGTCATGATATATTTATAATATAAGTTATGTATGTTAAGAAAAATGAAACAAAAAACATGTAATAATATAATTAAAAATGAATAGAACATTCTCCATAATTGTGTACTTTGAAATTAATTTGTTTTAATGTGTTATACATTATAAATGACTTGTTGCCAGTCTTAGTCAATAATATAGTTTTTTATGACTGTATGATTTGTATAATTTGTTTTATTGGTCGTGACTACATGAATTTTCATATTCATATTGATCAGTTACAAATTTTGTTATTAATATTAGTAATACTATTAATTTTGTTATCAGTGGAAACAAAAAAGTTATAAGTTGTTCTAGAATGTAGAATGTTTTGTTCAAATAGTTCAATTATTCATTATCACAGTAGTTCAAATTGTTCAATTGTTCTATTAGTTAGTATATAATAGTTAGTTCGCTAATATCATTATAATTTTATAAATATTTGTTGTATAATGATTGAAATCATTTATATTAGTTGTAAAACTGGAGAAGTTTTTGAAAGTCTTAAGAAACTACTAATTGTTTTTATATAAAAACTAATTGTTTTAAAATGATAAGCGTAATATGAGGGATTTATGGGTATCGTTAGGCCCATAAAACAATTGCGAAAATTATTTTGAGACTGATCTTGTCCAACCGTGCACGTGCTCGACTACATAAGCGAACCGTGCAGTGTATATATACATAGTGTCCAAAAAGGTTGGGATCAAACGTAGACTGCGTGTTACTGAGGTCAAATAGATGATAAAAGTTTATATAAACTTATGTCCGAAAATGCTTCATTGAAAAGATATAAGTTTTTAAATATATTTATGATTTATTGCGATTTTATAAGAAATGTTCGAAAATTCCTCCTTCTGCAAGAATGCAGGCTTCCATTCGTCGAATCAGTGATTGTTGAACTCTTTCAAATATTCCATTTATATTAAAAATAATAGTAAATGCATTTTGAATACATTCCCAAAGTTGATCTTCTGTATCTGTATCGTATTTTTATAAACCATCTCTTTTGCATGATCCCGTAAATCGAGAAGTCGAGAGACTTTAGCTGAGGTAACCTAAGAGGCCATCTGATCCGCCGCGACCGATCCAACGTTGAGGGAATTGTCTATTAAGAAATTCACGTACATACCGTCCAAAATGTGGCGGGGCACAATGTTGAAACCACATTTGATAGCGTGTTTTCAATGAGACATCATGCAACATGTTGTGAAGATTATTTTGCAAAAATTGTAAATAAGGTCGAGTTATTAGTCTGCATGATCCTATAAGGACCTATTGTCGCCTATAATCCCCGCCCAAACATTTGTAGAAAATTGATGTTGTACATGCGAAGTTTGCCTAACATGCGAATTTTCATCGCTCCACATGTGACTATTGTGGAAATTAAATATTCCATGTCGCGTAAACGAAGCTTCATCGGTAAATAATATTATGGACAGAAATTCTGGATTGAGTAATCGTTTCTGTAACATTCATTGGCAAAATGTTACTCGATTTGGTCCGTCATTAAAATGTAATTCTTGTTCTTTTTGATAATGAAATGGATATAATCGGTTTCTATTTAACACATTCTAAACTGTTGATTTAGACTGATCACAAATGGCACTTATCCGTCGAACACTACTAGTTGGATTATTTGTCAATTTGCAAAATTTCTTTTTCTTTATTTAAATTAATCTGATTTCTTCCATTGTGATGATATTCCTTGAAACTTCCAAATTCTCTTAATCGCCGATCGATATTGCCGAAATTCTTACCGCCTGGATGTTGACGTTTTGGAAACATTTTCGCGTACATTCTTGCTGCAGCACGTTCATTACATCGCACTTCATCATACACAAGATGCATATTGCATAATTGAGAAAATGTGTACATGTTAATTGCAAACACAAAAGTGAAATCATAAAGAGAATGCGTATTATACGACGAAATATCTATTAGACGTTAGACTAATGAGTAGGTCTTGTTTAGGCCGTAGGTCAGGACATGTAAACAATAATCTTATTGAGAATTTGTAATACATTTGTAACAGTGACGAGCATATAAATAAGGAAAAAGTACTTTTCATTTAATGCAGTATCTTAATGTATAATACTAATATATAATAATGTAAATACTAATAATACTGTATAATATATTATAATAATACTGTCATAATGTACAATACTAATATTTCTCCTATTATGTTTGCACATGTTGAAAATACGATTCCTTAATTTCATTTATGAGTATAGTTTGTATAATTAACATTGTTTGATTTTTAACAAAAATAAATGCATTGTTGAAAACAAGGAATATTGGACGAGCAGTTAAATAAGGAAACACTAATTTTGTTCCAAAAAGTAACTTGTTGTATTTTTTAAATATAAATTTCCTTACTTATACATATTGATAACTAGTAATGAATATTTTATTAGACCACCTTTATTTTTTATCATCACCTCACCACATATAGCGACGAGGCATAGAATTAATAAGTGTGATCACGTCGGTCGGATGAAACGTTTTTCCATGCATTTTCGATTACAGTGTACAAATTATTTAAATTGGAAGGTTTTATCATTTTAATTTCCTTCTCTACAGAATTTCCATTCTAATTTCCTTCTCTAATTCCAGAGATGTTCAATGAGGTTCAAATCGGGTGATTGTGCTGGCCAACGCATGAGGTTGACATTATGTTTCTCCAAAAATCGTGTAGCCTTCTTAGACGTGTGTTTAGGCTCATTGTCTGCTTGAAATATCCAGTCCTCTGGTAAGTTTTCTTCAGCAAAGAGTATTAAATTTTTGTCCATGATATCAACATATTGATGCTGATTCATAATGCCATTTATACGGCAAATTGGACCAGGACTGTTTATAGTCATTCCAACTCAGACCATAACAGAACTCCCTCTTTCTTTAATTGTCGATCTTATGCACTCACTTATTCTTCGTCTTATGTAAGTATTCTTCCATCCGACTTAAAACAATTGAATTTGGATTCGTCTGTAAATATTACCCTGGACCATTGATCTCTTGTTCAGAAGTGGCGAAAGCTAATCTTGCTTTACGATTTTTTTGGCTTATAAGCGATTTCTTGCGTGCAACGCGACCTTGTAATCCGAATTCTGCGACAGCGTTGGTTTTTTCTTTTTCTCGTAAGCACTGAAATTAACTTTCTTAAGGGGTCTCCTCATTGTCCACTTACTAACTTCGATTCCTGTATCTCTTAATAAACATTTAGCAGCTATAGTTGCCGATTCTGTCTCATGACTTGTAATATAACGCACAATTCTTCATTCATCTTGACCAGTTAAGACTCCTGGCCGCCCTCCCATTGGAGTTATCACGTCTTCACAGTGTTTTGTAATCGCAGTAGAGTAGATTGACTTACAGTACACATTTTAACCACTTTACGCGTCGACAAACCATCTTAGTAAAAGAGAAATAATTCTTTTTGAGATATTTCGTGCAATGATTTCATTATTTCTAATATTTAAGTAGCGTCTTTACAAGTTAACTAACGCTTATAAACTAACAATGAGTCTATTATTGCATGACAACTCTCAATGTAAACAGAGAACCACTGTTTACATTTATTCCATTAGTGTATATATTGCTAGTGTTTTGCGATGCTAAACTGATTCTATGTATTTTTATTACTGCAGCCAAGAACAAATGTATTTCGAATATTAGAAAATAGTGTAAGCTTCCTCAAAGAATGTCGAAATAGTTAATAACACTCATTTTCATTTTATTGTACTTCATTTCATGAAAATTTTATTCATTGGTTTTGCTCCTTACTGTATATGTACACATACATACATACATACATATGAATGCTTAACTGATATTCACACAAACTTAACACTAACACTAAATTCACTGAGAACTAATATGTGGAAATAGAAGAATTGGAACGAACTTGAACGAGACTGAACTGACTACTACGCGGATCTTGATCTGTCTCTTTGACACAAGGAGTAGAACTGAACTAACTGAACTCTTATCCTCTTTTATAACATTAATTATCGATGGCCTGTCATGGTTTTGCATCCGGTGTTTCATTTGGAAACAGAATGTCAGAGATGGTGTTTATTGAATATTGTATCGATATTCATTCTCGTTCGCCGTTTGATCTGTACCATTCGAAGAACAAATTGGAGCCGATTGCTTCAGAACAAAGACCGATCGGATATTCCACACTTCATAATATATTCTCACACATATTTATTCTCTCTTCGTTCACATCCTCGGTACAATACACGCCAAATCGTCTCGATAACTTTAGAGACTAAACGAACGTCGGTCGTACTTTTTGTTTGTCTTTAGTTTCTTTGTTATAAACTGAGCATTGCCACAAATTATGTCCTGACAATATTATCAAATCAGTTTTTTTCCTGTTTTTCAACACGTTGAGAAAGTTGCTCTTTCTTCTGCTTTATCCACTTGCAATGAATTTTGAAAAGAATTCTAACTATTCTCGCGCGATGCACTAGTTTATTAATATACACAAGACTATTATTATATGTATGTTCTATTCTCGGACTACAGACGATTTCTTCCTGGTAAGAAAACTGTTTTTCACCAATATCGGACGAATTTTCTACTGTCTTGAGTCATTGAAAAATTAGGAAAGACTTCTTTGTTTCCCTTTTCCATCGGCTTCGAAGATTTTGGCACTCCGATGAAGGCAGATCATTAATACTATTTGTCAATTCCGCTTAGAGCGTGTTTTTAAATATTTTCGAGAACTTTGTCTGAGAGAATGCCACATGTTCTGTAGTTCTAACGAGTCAGCAAGGCTCATTACAACCTTACCTCCTCTTGCTGGATTTTCTTTTCAAAAAATAGAGTAAGTTACCAATCGTATTATATAAATCAGGTCATTATTCGAAGTTTCCAGACACTAATCGAGACATTAATTTTGCATTTATTCTACGGTCGTAATACAACTATTTTATTTAGTTTTACTATTATGGTAGTAAAACTAAGGAAGTAATATTGGATTTCGCGTAATGGAATGAACGCACTTATAATTCTGAAGAGGTTTATTCAATATTGCAATAGTGGTCGTGTACAACATCTTTTGTCGATTTTGAGGAAAATAATCTCTTTGCTTCTTCCAAGCATGTCCTTATATATTTTGGGTCATATCATCGTCTTCAAGTGGAAGGGGAAAGATCATAGATGACCAACTACTGGATCTTGCTTATGACTAATTATTCACTTTTATGTGGACTGTTACTAACTCAGTATTTGCACTGATTCAATATTGTTAGGCCAGGTTGGTCATCCAACACCTTTCCCCTGAAGAGTGAAGATGATAACACGAGAAAGAATCTTCAGTAGTGTTTAGACTTAAAATTATGATATACGTTTCAAATTACAAATATGGATATAAAAGTAAAATATTTTTACAAATAATATACACTCCTGGACAAAAATATAGCACACGTGTGCTATCATTTAGTTCTCAAGGATAAAAAAAATTCCCTAAATTTTACAAATGGTACGTAAATATTGTCTCACGGTAATATATTACATAGTGACAAACTAGATCTACGCTGTCCGTACTTCAGAATGAATGATCTTTATTTCAGCCTTTCGGCCTAGAAATAGACCTCAGTGCCTTACATTATTCTTTACATTTTGTTTTCCGTTTTAATTCCCTTGGTTGTCAAGTTTTCCCTTATTATTTTTCCCTTACATCTAGTATTGCATGCTTTAACCTAACTTTATACTATACATAGACTAATTAGACTAATAGAGAATGATATTTGCACACTGCCTCTAAACTTAATATATTTCTCTTTGGTACTATACTTTAATTTAGTACTTTACCTTAGTTGTGTCTCTATATTTAGATTTCTGTTACTTTTTCTCTTTTTTTCCTTCTTAATTTTTTTGAGCCAGGCCAACGCTTCCACATCACCCTCTTCTGCTAGGAACCTTTCCATGTTGAGACCGGTTTCTCCCAATTCCCTGCATTGTCTCCAGTGCTCGAACGTTCCTTCCTCTTCTTTACATAGCGGACATTCTTTCTCTGTTCCTTTAGCCCAAAATAATATATCTTGCTCTAGCCAGTATTATATGTTTTTTCTTTTGTCTCCCCTTGCATATGTATCCATGCCTCGTTTTGGA